AGCAACCACTTAATCTATGGGACATTAGATTGAATACTAACAAAACCAAATAATTTCAACCGGACCACTATAAGGTAATTTGAACGAAAAAAAAATATTTAAAGATTTAAAGATCGAAAACTGTTACTTTTAATTTCAATCAGTCGGAATATTGTTCAAAACTAACATCCTTATTTTGACGTTCGATTTAAAAAAAAATTAAAGCATGCTCAACACTGCAGTGCCTGCAGGCAGACTAACTGGCCCCATGCTTGCATGTTACAATACAGTCACATACTACTGGCCGCTAATGTGTTGCGTGCGACCATTTAATAGGAAAAAAAGTAAATTGATGTAACTCGGCTCACATCAAGCTATGCAATTCCAGTATAAACTGACCGCCGAATGTCCGGAAAGTTCATACGAATCGAGACCATGATAAAGTGGTTTTGTATATGTCGATGTACATACAAGTACACGCGTATAATGTGAGGTATTTTCATAAATACTCGTACGTTTTGTTTTAAAACCCATTTGTATTCATGCGTTTTGTTTCGTTCCCGGAAGGGAACAACATGAATAGTCACTAATATTATATGCTAAAGCGTGTTTGTCTTTTTTTTATGTCGCTATTTTATTTATAAGAAAAAAGAAAGAAGGTTTTATTTAGCACCAGGCACATTTAGGAGGTTGGAGAGAGATATAAGCTACACATTTTGTTCTAAACACGCGGGTGAAACCGAGGGTAAACTAGTTAATTATTAAACGCTAACAAAGAATGTAAGAAACATTTCATACAGTTGACAAGGAAATATTTTTGTCAAATTTAATAATGGAAGATGAGAAAAGTCTGGGAATCCACTCTCGCCATGTTTTAGCCAATCCGAGTGAGCGTTAATATTTAAAAAGTATTCCGAAAAGTGTCACTAAATGTCCCCATTAATGTTTCATATAAACAGCAGGACTAAAAGGTTTTTCGCTTTTAACTTAGTATTGAGTAAGACATGAAACTAATTCTGTTATGCGAAATATAATAACAATTTTATATGAAAACGTAATACATAAATATTGTTACGGACTTTTTTCGTCGTCGCTAGTAGAAATTCTAGTTAATTTGCCGTCGTAGTTTTCCAAATGAAAAAAAAATCTATATCAATATAATAAGCATGTAACAAAGGCATGAACTACATAACGTACTCCCAGTTGACGTACGCTGACAAAACAGTAAAACAAATGACAATCAAGCCATGTTAAAGGTCAGAAGTAAAAAATCTTTTGAAAGGAAAAACACTTCGATTAGGTTTACACCGATCGTCATAACAAACAAGACAGGTCCTAACCTGTTTATCGATGAGAGTCTCGGGAAATTCCTCATTTTTCACAGTTTTCTACACGCATAAACAAGTCGATGTGACACAGAATAATAATTTCCGCTTGTTATCAAATCACCGTGCAAAATGCGGTATTTGTAGGCTGAGGCACTTCCTTCCTATCAGAACTTGAACAAATATGTAGGCAGATGTGGATTAGACTAGAGGGCGCTCTAGGCAAGCGTGTCATAGGCGACCCTATTTTTTTTTATTGGCGCCAAAGTTAGTCTATGGGCGTCTCTTGGCGCCTAATTGTAACCGGGCGCCCTTGGTACTTGCTTTTTTGCCATAGAGGTAATACGGCTCTGAATGTAAGGAAATGAAATGTTTTAAATAACTGCCGCCCATAATGTATTTTCCGTTCAAAATGGAGTCGCTTTTCCGCCGTCGAGTTAGGGAATATTCTGTAGAATGTAATGCCTTTATATCACGTATGTCAGGGAACATTTCTGTCATATTTGATTTGAATATTTCATATTTATACAGAGTAGAGTGAATAGTTTTATTGAAAGCTTGAGTGTCATTGTTGTACACTCATTTTGATCTACAATGTAAGTATAATAGTGACGAGTGTTGAGATGTTTGGAATTTATAGAAGGTTAGAGGTAGATGGATTGTGTTAAAGTTATTAGAAATATGAAAGAAATAAGACACTAACGTATTGGTAATACTTAGACACTAATAACTGGTAAAATAAGATACTATTTATACATGCTATCATAATATATATCAATAGGCATATGGTAATGTGAAAAGAGAAAACTGCCGATTTTCTTGTAAGTAGTTTTTTTGTGAATAGGAATTCTATTTCTAACGAACCTATAGAGCAAGTACCTACAACGGGAAATTGCTATAAAAATATGAAAAAAAAAATATTTTGGAGGCAGTAAATTAGGCAAGAAACAAAATACCGACGACAAAGAAATGCGCCCTTTAAGATACCGTCACTAATTCCACCAAGCTGAGACTTAACAAAGTTGTCCACAGCACGAATTGAATTCCAGACCCTCGGATACAAAGTCGTGAAAGGGATAATACACTAGCAACGTTAATGGAAATCTTGCGAGGAAGTGTGGGGAATACAAAATATTCGGAAGACGATGAATACAAATATAAAGAACCTCTTTTATTAGACCATATTGAGGAAACTCGACTGCATGAAGATCTTTTTTGGGAATAAAGTTGTGTATAAAGTGGTGTAAGTTAGTAGCAATAACTTGAATAACTTACTGGAAGGAGATGATTAGTCACATTTAAGTCATGCAGAATACTTTTTTAATCTTTGCATTATAATACCCTATCTATATAAGCTTCTATAGTACTGTAATATTAATCGGTATTAAGCATTATTGCTAATATCTTCAAATTTCTTCACATAATGTTTAACTACTGATAGTAATTTCACCAATAAATTTCATCACCTAAAGATAATTATGGAGCTGACGTAGCTAGACCCATAATACTGACCGTAACCCAATTCAGAGAAGGCTAGAAGAAAGAAAAATGATTGATGATCATTGTTGATGCAGAAGCACACAATACAATTGATAATTATGTGATCAGAACCACCATATTTCCAAGGTTGTATTCGTTGGAGTGCGGACAATGGGCTTATTATCCCATCAAAGGTAATCGCCCCAAATTAGAGACTAACTAGAATCAATAAGCAGTAATCAATGAACTAGTTATCTTGGAGATTTGGACAATAAATACCAGATGACGTACATTATCGGGCGTCGGTATGTCTATACTATTTTTATTGAGGTCCTGGAATAATGGGAGCAAGAGCCTGGTTGGATTATTTAGGATTAGAAGAAGTAGGTAGTGATTTGAAAAATAAAGTAGGTAGGTTTTTCTAAGTGCATTAGCTTTCCGTCTGTGGCTTTGGCCATGTATAAAAGTATTCTATATCAATCATCTACCTCCAAACTATCTCCAGACCCAACCATACCATAAAAATGCGACAATAAAGATATATATGACAAGATAGATGATTAAGTTTCTGCTCAATATTATGATGTTAATACTTCATATAAGTTTTAAAGTGCGAAGTGTTGAGGCCAAGGCCTACTGTTAGAGATGTGGAGTTTGAGCAAAACTTTTAATTGCTCACATTATTAAAAGTTAGGGGTGCTAACTGTATTGCATTCAAATTGTACTATAAAGTTTTTATCTTAAGGCTATAAAAATACCAGACATGAATACTTTCGAAGACTATAAAGTATTAATCTCATCTTTCCGCAAGTCGCGGGCCTGCGGACGGCGAGCATGGGTGGCTCGCCGCCTCACCCAGGCGGGAGCAGTCATTCGATGATTTTCCCCCCTTACAGTCAACTAAGGGACTAGAGAACACACAACAGAAATGCGACTACGTCCTCCTGATAAACCTGAACCTTTTAAAAAAATAGGATCTTCAGTCTGCCTGCCAAGTATGGAGATTAAGGTAAACACCTCGTATGAAGAGGAGACCAAGTTGTCGAGATTCATGTGATTTCATAACACTAAGACAATATATTATCTTTGAATTATATTCCAACGATTTCTGATCGATATCATACAGAGCAAACAGAGAGTATACAAAACGATAATATTTGCACGAATCTGGGATCTGAAGCTTAAAATAAACGAATGCTGTTGTCAACATTTTATGTTTCGGTAAACATTCAATATAGACTGCGAAAATATTGGACAAGTAAACTTTGCACGGGATTCGCAACTGTGTGGAGTATTTATTGCTCTTCCTGTGTGTACGAATTAAAGGTTTCAATGTTAAAAAATCCTACATAAATCATTTCTTTTTCAGGACAATTATTCGAAATAAAAATAACACATCTGGTTCTTTTACTGATCCAGTACTTTTCATAGTTATCATTAAATTCGCGTATATTTTTGTGCGTCAAATGGCAATGTGAACAGAGCATACCGATACATGTAGTGGCGCAAATATACCGTTCAGGGCCCGTGGCAAATTCATCGGATGAAACCTCTAAAGCCTTGGCTTCCTGCTAGGAGCCCGTGGTTTTTGCCGACTTGCCACTCTGTAGTTACGCCACTGGTTAAATGCAATCCACAACTATTAAATGTATGTTAACAGCTTAATAAAATTACACTACACAGTCTATACAGTACATAGATATATAGTAGTTTGTTTATTTGCAAGCAGGGAAGGCGTGCACTTCAATTTGTCGGTGCGCGGTCCATGCGGCCGCGTCACGACACGTCCAATTTAACATGGCCGCCAACGAACGCAAATTGTGTTCCGTACATACCCGAGCACAAGTTACTCCCGTGATCCTAATGGAGATTGACTGCGAATTGCATTAACTTTTGCGACCACTGTACCTATTACATGATACGTACCTACTAATATATTTTTATTGCGCATTAAAGTTGTGTAGTGAATTATTCTATTGTAACGTTTGCGTCTATTGTAACAAGACAGCTGAATCAGAGATGTTTATAAAGAATTTAATAAGACGACAAAACTCATTTAAAATAATGAAACTACTTTGAAATCCAATAGCTTTGCTGTACTTTTCTACTTCAATAAACCCAAGGCTGAACTAGCAAGAGAAATTAATCATAACTGGAAGCCTCGGGGGAAATATCAAACAAGGTTTTTTCTTAATAAATATTAGTTTTGGTACAAACCTGGCGAGTAGAAACGCGTCTAGCGTCTGAGGTTGTCGCGCGTCTACGACGATAACGTGCGGCTGTTTGGTGTCGGAATCGCGTCGTAACGCTTCGAGCGTGTCGCGCGCGCTTCGCACTGAGCGCGCCTCGCCGCCTGCTCGCGCGACCGCCGCGCATGCTGCCGCGCAAACGCGCGATGCTCGCTCCGGGAACACGCATAGTAGCTGCCGAAAAAAAAAGAAAGTCAGATAGAGTTTTTCAAAGGCTTTTTTTAACAAAATGCCCCACACTAAGATTTTCTCCTGTATAGTGGGTGAGTTTATAAACATACAAGTTCACATACACATGACACCCAGACCCGGAACAACAATTTGTGGATCATACAAAGAGTTGTTCCGTGCGGGAATCGAACTCATGGCTCGTTGCACGGCAGCCAGTTCCCTAACCAGCACGCCAACCGTGCAGTCAAGCTGAATATATTATTAATATATTATTTTAAAAGTGTTAATCAGGTGTTAATATTTTTTTTATTTTCTAGTCATGATTTTGTAAGACAAATGTTTCTAATAAAATTGTGTTCTAAAGCTATTAAATGTTATCATAAACACAAACAGTTCAAAATAGATTAGCTTGATTTGAATACCTACAAAATCGTGTCAAAACGAAGTACCCAGTAAATAACTAGGTAGTTTACTTTAATATCATAGTATTTAAAACAGATCAAAATTTAACATCAAATGGAGATCTGAAAGGCTTCTATTTCTTTGAGTCTTTTGTCTCAGGTTTAGACCGAACCGTAGCTCGACAGCTTTTATTTTGGATCTATTCACAAACAAACAAAACATAGGACCCGAGTTTATTCAATGAATGATTCCTACATTCACGGTGTATCCAATGTGGGTCTAGCAGAATAGGTTTTCAGGTCCCTATTGTTAGTTGTGACAATGTGACACTTTATCGTGTACAGAACAATGTTCGTAATGCTGTCTTCGGTTTTGTTGATTGTATTCTGTGTGATTAAAGTTAAGGTGAAATAGTGGATCTGATATACTTACGTCCATTTTCTATAACCTATCTATCTGTAGATTTGCTTACTGAGATAGAATTTTGTCACATTTTGTATGGAGCTTATGTCAAAATTCTATCTCAGTACCTAAGCAAATCTACAGATAGATAGGTTACAGAAAATGGCCGTTACTAAATGTGTCTTACTATTGAATATAAATAGAATAGAATAGAATAGAATACAACTTTATTGTACACCATTAATAATATAGTACATAGAGAACTAAATACAACAGATACGATAAATATAATAGGTACTTTGTATTATTGATGTAGACATTGGGTAGCACAAATTGTGCAGATTTCCAAATGTTAAGCAAATAAATGAAATAAATAACCTCTTACTTCGCGTTAGAGTGCTGAAAAATATTAGTTTTCGTCCTCATTTAGACTTGTATTGTAACTTTCGTGAGACATAGTAAATAAATTATTATGTTTTCGGCTTACTCACGTAATAATTTGACGAGGAACTCGACTAGTTTCAAGCCATGCTAGAGGCTCATATTCATGAGCAGCATTTCGCGAGTTGTTCATCTTTTAGTTCCAACAAAAATAACAATATGGCTGTCATAAAAAATTAAGAAATGTTTACTTTTCCTATGTTTTAATGTAAAATTAATTACATTAGGTACACTCAATTTAGCGAATTTCTCTAAGATGGTGTTATTGATTGATTTTGGGGTCCGAAAATTAAGTGAAAAGGTCATTAGGGTAACGTAAACCAATTAGGGAGGTCGCAGACATGTTTTAGAAGAGAAATTAATTCAATAATACTGCTGTTATTTTTTAAAGAAGAATTTTAAAGAATATTGATGTTGTATGTAATAGTGATGCTCAGTATGTGGCAATACTTAGGTAAATCCTTACTAATATTATAAATCGGAAAGTGAGTTTGTTTGTTTGTTCCACTTTCACGCCGTAACTAGTAAACCGATTGCTTTGAATTTTTGCAGACGTAAAGTTAAAAGACCGGATTAAATAATAGGGTACTTTTTATCCCGGTAAAATTTGATATTCTCGAGAAAACGAAATTATTACTATAAATGGCACTGTGTGTATTCGTATATGTCATAAAGGCTACTTTTTATCCTTTTGTGACGCGAGCGAAGCCGCGGGTAAAAGCTAGTATCAAATAAATAAAGGTTATGTCTACTCTACTAGTCTCTAATTATTAGGTTCTCTAAAAGTACACAGCAGACTGATGATTTTTGGCTTCAAAAAAAAAAAGATTGTGTGGTATAATAATATCGCAAATGACAATGACCAAATTTGTATGGAGCGTGGTGCCTTTTTGTTTTTTCGCGGCAGTTGATCGGATGTGGAAAAACTGATGCAGAATAACATTACAAACAAAAAAATATATGGGGTCTTATATCAAAAACACAGTCCAAACCGAGTTAAATCAGTTCAAAGATGTGAAAATAGTGCCATATTATTCCTGTTATTTTGTTGATAACCGACCGTACACAACGTATATTTCTTCATTTACTTGTCAGAAATATTTTATAATAAATGTTTATAAACGATTTCAAGGAATATTATAAAGCTTATTGTGAAATTTTTTACTTTATTTTTTTTTTTTTTTTTGTTATAAGGCCACTGAATCAGAACCGTGTAAACCATTAACTGGCTACTGCTGAAGTAAAAAGAACATTTCGCTTGATTGGCTAGTGTGTTCACTTTATATGTAACTATACGGTTTATGGCCTACGACAGATTTTCATGATCAATTTCCTCTCAGTCGAAAACTCGCAAAATACTTTACTGAGCCCTATCATGAAATGCTATGTTTGTCAGCTGCACCGTCGGTAGCGGATTAAGTAGCGGCAGTCGTCAAAACCCAAAAAATCATTTTTCTGGCTACTTCTTCCGACTTACTCCGGATTAGTAACTAATCTAACTACAGTTAATACTTTAATCGACTGCTAGCATAAGATTCTGTACAAAGATATCGTCATTCAGTTACAAAGTGATGGATTATATTACGACTGATCACATTACATGAAAAAATTATGCGGTCATCTGACGTATAGTCCATCACTTTACCAAGTCGATGGTTTCCTTTCTTCAACAGATTATGCTAACTATAAAGTAGATGAGTCTCCCACCAGGAGTCAACGGCAAAAAAATAATAATTTATTAGATGTTTGGACGGCTACCACTACCCAACCCACCACTGTTACGACAGCTGACGCTCATGAAGCTTCCTGATACAACTCCTAGAAGCATCCCACAAGTTATCGACACAGAGAAAATAGCTAATAAAAATTAGTGCTTGGCAATATGGATATATTGTGGTGTGATATGGTGTTCCTGTGCCCGGCGTACAGTGGCGCACAATTTGAAGTTAGAAATTGTGACAAAAATATGAATAATTTGAATAAAAAAACGAAAGTAACATGTTTGATTCCAGCTTCTTTTAACGCTCATAACTCAGTCCAGACTGAGATTTCCATATATGAGCCCATAGACAATTTCGTTTGTAATGACATTCTAGATAATATTTTCCATAAATCATCGACTGCCGCCAGAAAAAAGAAAGGCACCAATTTTAGTCAATGCCCTTTTATTGTACTTGACTTTGTTAAGAAAATACGACTTTAAAAAGGATAATTTTATTCTAGTTCATGTTTAAACTCTTTCATAGATTCGAACTGTCAAAAAATTAAACATGGCGGCCAACGAACGACCGTTTGGAGGGACAAAAATTCAAAATGTCTGCGAGAACGGGCAAATGAACGAAATAATAGGAATCCAGCGGACATTGAATGGAGCTGTAATTTTCTAAAGATTTCTTTGATCCAGTTGAATTTGTTTTTAAACCGTTAGTTGTTAGCAACGGCTTTTACGTTATTAGATATTGTTTAAAATAATACCAATCTGGGAAAGGTTTTTGATAATTATAATGAGATACGACCCTATCTGTGTTCATTACATGATGGAAATTTCCAAGATAATAGATTCCTACTACTACTTTTTTAGATCAATTTATTATCAAACCTTTAACAAAAACGTTTATATATGTTTTTAGGAAGTTTTGAACTAATTGTATAGCCATATATTTAAACTGTATGAAGGGTAGGTGTAATATAAATAATTATTTAAAGAAACAGACTGCCTCGTTGGCTGAGTGATCGTAAGTGCGACTGCCGGGCAAGGATATCTGGTTTGATTCCCGTGTCGGATAAAGTAACACAAGGTTTTTTAAAAAAATCTCAGTAGTAGCACGGAGTCTGGAATTGTACCCGTTATATGGCAATAGGCTCACCTATTACATGGGTCTCATAACATAAATAAAAGTGAGTGTTACATTGTACAGTGACATTATGTACACCTCTGCCTACCCCTTCGGGGATAAAAGGCGTGATGTTATGTTATGTATCTATATAAAAGTGATGTCACAAGGAAAATACAATATCACTGAAATTACAACATCATGATACAATGGAAAGGTTCATAACACACTAGTAACTTCAATAAACAAGTAAGTATTTATGTGTTATATGACTAAATTAAATTACTTTAAATAATTTAAAATGGTACCCTGAGGACCTAGATGAATAGGCACGGCTCTTATAAGGTCAGCGTGCTGCTAAAACCAAAACTAAAAGCTGAAATAGGTTCCAAAAGGTAGACATTTTGTATTTTTGTTTCAATTAAGCCCGCGTTACGCGCGCTACCACAGATTGTGTTAAAATATTTTAATTAACAGTGTTGCCAGTGTTAATTGCTAATGGCAGCTCGCAACATATTTCTGCTTTTAAAATGTACACTAAAGCGAGTCTTTATTAAGCGTTGATAAAAAATCTGTGAAACATAACATCATAACATAACATCACGCCTTTTTATCCCCGAAGGGGTAGGTAGAGGTGCACATTTCGGTGCTTAACACACACAATGTAACACCCACATTTCACTATGAAACATTTTTTTTATTTCTGATTTTCGTATCGTTTTTTACTCATATATATGCAGGATAACCACGATCTACTAGATTGATTAAGTAAGAAATAGAAAAAAAATATCTAGGCAAGTTGAGAACCTCCTCCTGTATGGGAAGTGACATCACAATAGTAATATCATACAGTTTAGCATAAATTCACATAGACACCGTAGTGATGGCCCGGAGGCTTAAGACGCCCGCTTCGACCGGTTTAAGAGTTCGAAACCTATCAACGGCTGTGACTGACCAATAACCAATGTGACTTTTTCCGAGTTAGGTATATGTACTATCTCTAAAATTATCTAGGCACCACTGACAAACGGTGAAGGAAAACATCGTGACGAAACCTGGGCTTATAACTTCTAATTAAAAGTTTGAAAACACCAATCCGCATTGAGCAAGCGTAGTGATTAATGACCATACCTTCTCCGTGTGAGAAGAGACTTTGCTCAGCAGTGGCTACTGGGCTGTTGATGATGATGATGATCGGATATGTAGTTGTTGTAGAATATGTAGGTCAGTTCGATATCAGATAATTTATGTGAAGTTCTGCCACTATATTGAGTGAAATTCACGTGGCAATATCACTAGAAATTCAGGGACTACTACATTTTTTTTTTTAAGGAGGGAAAGTCATCGAATGACTGCTCCCGCCTGGGTGAGGCGGAAGGGAGTGTCAGACTCTTACTGACTAAAAACCACCCCGTTCCTTCTCCTGCACGTCGAGCCGGAGCCCCGGTTACCCGTTAGGTTCTCCGCGACAGGGACTACTACATTAACACACTAACATTAAAAAGGTGACAGTAGTCACCCAGTTGTAAAAATGAGTCTAGCGACAAATAGGAGTCGAGTATATTGCTTTACACCCGACCACAATCCCAGACTACATCAATAACAGTATACTGAAATGTTATAGTGATTAATTTTAATCATACAATGAATATTCGATGGTTGTACCTTACGTAAATCGTGGAGACGTAGAGTTAATCCCAGCTAGTTACCACGAGGGTTAAAGGATCTTTAATACTTATGAGAGGGTTGTCTTTCAAAATCTTATTGAATATCTTGTTGAGTAAATGTTTTGAATCTGTTGCTAACAATTCATTAATTTTGTTGGAAATGGTGGCAAGTGTATGCTTTTATATTAGTCAAAAATTTAGTTTAGTTAATATTTGATTGATTCCTTATTTAACTTGGAACGTCTAACACTTTTTCAATTATCATTTGTGTGTAGGAGAGCTATGCTACGGCTCGATCGCAGTACAACAGCCTTACAGAAAATCGACGTGAAACAACGCTTGCGTTGTGTTTCGCCATGTTAGTGAGATTGCCCGACGCCCTATTACTCCCCCCCCCCACTTCCTTAATCTCCCTAATCCATGAATCCCCAAAAATTGTCAAATTTGTAATCCCCAAAAGGTCGGTAACGCACTTATAACTCCACTGCTGTTCCAGGTATCCATGGGCAGTGCCGATAGCTTACCATCAGGTGATTCGTCTGCTCATTTACCGGCTTATCCCATACAAAAACAGACACATAATCTAGACTTTGTGGTATAGGTAATTGAGAAAATAGGTAGATATTAATCAAAACTAAATCTAATAATAAGTTAGTAAAAGTGTAAGATTGTGTACTCACCTCTAAGGGTTCCGGCGGCGAGTAGAGCATGGCATTGGGAATGTTGGCGGGCGGCGGCGACCTGTTCTGCAAATACATACCACTGTGTAATATACATTAACACCACAACTACATTACTAGTATATAAAGAAACATTAAATATCAAAACTTTTGTCCTTCCTGTTCATTTTCATTTTATTTTGACGACTGACGAGGAGAAATTAATTGAGTAACCATGTCGAATAGTTACATGAGTAGGTACTGTAAAGCCTACTTAGTTTATTATATATCTCAAAATACTTAAAATAAAAAAGTAAAAACAGGTACATTTTTACTTGTATTTTTTACATTTTAACAAAAACTGTTTGTTTTTTTAAACCTTTTTTTAAATAACAAGTTTCTTGGCTTGTTATTCCTAATAAATAATGTTAAGTTAATATAAATGCTCTAATCTAAGGATTAAAATAGGTAATAATAATATTTCAGTCCAGTTAAACAGCCTTGCGCTCAAAATAATATATAGCCTTTCTTCTGAAGTATAAAGATCAATTTTCAAAAATCCAAATAGAAGTTCATGCCTAAAGAATGAATAAAGATTTAAAGATTTGAAGATTTGAAGATGCCATAACGCAATTATTGTGTCATAAATACTTTGTATAGGTACGTAGAAACTCAATACGTAACTCGGTGTGTAAGTATATAATAACAGTATTTTAAATTTTTTCTTTTCTTTTTAAAAAACTTGGCCCTACATTAGGATTTTCTCCTGTGTCGTGAGTGCGTTTACAAACATACAAGTTCACATACACATGACACCCAGACCCGAAACAACAATTTCTGGAGCACACAAAGTGTTGTTCCGTGCGGGAATCGAACCGTGCCACGTAGCACGGCAGCCGGTTGCCCATCCACCGCACCCACCGTGCAGTCAATATACACAGTTTATATACACATACAGTTTTCAACTCTCTAACAGCTACAAACTTGGAAATCATATACCTAATATAAACGAATAAAAAGTTTGGAAGTAAAAGTACACACGGGCACACATCAATCTATACAAAACCAGTTTATCCTGGTGTCGCGTCGCATCATCTTTCCGCACATTTAACGTTCAGTTTATACTGGTTATGTAAAGCTCGATGTGTAGCCGTATGTACCTTATATAATACGTACCAACGAGTATATTACGAAAATCTCATGATTTGGTAAAACTTCATAATGTTGGAAAAATAAATTGTATTAACTTGTTATCGATATAATATTTGGAATTCATGTTTACCTATTCAATATTTACTTGACAAAATATTATGCTTGTTAACGGAAATTATGATATTACTACCTGTGACTTCGTTCGCGTGAAATAATTCATATTTCTTATCTTTTTTTTTGACGCGACAACGTGTTGATTGGCGAGGCGTATTTGAGAGCTAGCATGAAACGGAATGTTTATGCACCTACGACCCAGGAGAAAATCATAGTGTGGAGGATAGTGGAGAATTAGATGAAGCCTTTTCGACATATTATGCTATAAAATTCATTTGTTTTAGGAGGCAAACAAGCAGACGGATCGCGTGATGGTATGCAATCAGCCCCGCTCATGGACACCTGAAACATCAAGGCGTTACAAGTGCGCTATCGGCCTTTTGGGAATTGAGAATTTGAGATTTGTGGAGGATTCGGGAGAATTCACACAACGCAAGCGTTGCTTCACGTCGGTTTTCTGTGAGGCCGTGGGCCGTACTTCATAACTCACGCAATAACTAGAGAACGGCTAGACCGATTTGGCTGATTTTTTGTTGTTGTGTTTGTTATTGTCAGGAGAAGGTTCTTATGACAGAAAAAAAATCCTGAAAATTGTACGGGGATGGGAGAAACCGGGATTGCGCGTAAGAAGTCGCGGGCAGAAGCTAGTTAATAATAAATATACGTGTTTCTTTGTCGGTACCATTTAATGGTTACCTAAGTTCAACCCATAAATGTCCAGGTTCAAAGACATTGATAATGCTCAGGTATTCAGAGTAGCCGACATTAGGACGAGCCTTTTATTCGCGTCATTTGGTTCGCTCCAATCCGATCAATGAAATTGCCTGAATATGCTGAATTACAGGCAAAAGAGGATGGAAGATACAAATTAGTGTATGTAGATAGAAATAGTAATTTAAAAGAGATTTTTTTATTTATTCCACCAGAGATGATCATTGATGAGCAGAGATAAAAGTATTTATTTACTGTTACCAATTAAGTTTATAGCAAAATATAAGAATAATTCTTTTATAGCTAGGTTTAAAACAACCGACTCCAACCCCTTCTTTATTAAAGTCGGTTTATTAATATACTAAAACCTTCTCCTAAGTGTACAAACACTTTTCTGAAAACCGCATCAAAATCGGTTGAGCTAATCGCGAGATAATCGCGCACAAACATACACACACATACAAACAGAGATCCTCCTTTATTGAAGTCGGTTAAATTTTGTACAAAAATGAATGCATTTCACGTTTATAACATACTAGCTACTTCCGCGCGGTTTCACACGCTCTACTCAGCTCCTATTGGTCGTAGCGTGAAGTTTTATAGCTTAAAGCCATCCTCGATAAATGTGCTATCCAACACAAAAAGAATTATTTAAATCAGACTTGCAGTTACGGAGATCAACGCGTTCAAACAAACAAAAAAACAAACTTTTTCGCTTTATATAATAGTAGGTATAAGATAAGATTCAATTTTGTGAAATTGTTCTAAATTCATAAATACATTAGGTATCTAAACATTATTTTCTAATAATCGCAAGTATTAACAGATTAGCTTACTTTTATCCTTTGTCGAGTAGATTACAGACACAGGGCATTTGTGCTAATTTCGTAGAAATATCTAATCTAAATAAATCAAGGAACTTTATTGTAACGCCATAAAGATTAATTTCGCAGAAGGATGTTTGGAATTTGTTAAGACAACCTATTTTAACTGTTTTAAATTGTACTTAGTTTAATTAAACGTTTCGATTGCCAGGTAACCGGCGCCGCGTACGTGTGAAAGCTACAGTAAATGGCCATACATTGAGCGGTGTAAAAAGGCACTAAGCTGAAAGAAGCCATTGAAGCTAAAAATCTTTTAATAAAAGTACAGCAAGTATACAGTATGTAGTCGCGGAGAACCTAACGGGTAACCGGGGCTCCGGCTCGACGTGCAGGAGATGGAAGGGGGTGGTTTTTAGTCAGTAAGAGTCTGACACTCCCTTCCGCCTCACCCAGGCGGGAGCAGTCATTCGATGATTTACCCACCTTAAAAAAAAAACGTATGTATAATTGTATATATACCATACAAGGAGGGAAAGAACACACCATATACAGGTAATGAATGGGGAACCCCCTTTTAAATTAAATTAAATAATTCACTTGAACTCCAGACTAAAGCCAGTCCACGTGTGAGTGAATGTCTGTAGTACATAATTATGCATGATGTAGTGTAGGTAATATGACGAATCACAATGACGAATACATAAGGCAGATATGACCAGAAGTCATGTACACGAGTATAGCGATGTATTTATCATTATAATGATAATAATCGGCCATCAGTCACTTTGTCACCTTATCTTAACATATAAAAAAGAACCTATAAAGTTATTTAGGACACTCATAAACTTAGCTTACGCATCTACTAAGAAAACCCCGGGGTAATCTCTCTGTTGCGGGAATAGGGATGTAATACTCGATCCCGGGATAGTGTTCCCGGAGGATATTCCGGGATATCCCTGGAGGTAGTGCGGGATCGCGTGAGTGCTTATTTGATCCGATTAAGGCTTACGTTCCCGAGCTGTGAAGAGCTATTCAGAAAATTAGAACAAGGAATTTAAAGTGACTGTCTACAAAGGTTTTATAGCGTGATGATTCTTTACTTGTACGAACAATGTTAATTATGGTTTTTGGTGTGACCAGAAACTAAAAAGTAGAACCATTTAACCACATTTGTTAATATACCAAGAGTAATTTAGAAGATCATTAAAAGTAGCCTTAATCGAACAAGTATAAAATAACTGATGACTATTGATGAAACGAAAGAGGTATATAAGAATCGTAGCAATTGGCGTTCCATAGTGTCTGCCTACCCCCATGGGAGACAGGCTTGAAGTTATTTATATATGGATATAATTTAGAAGTTCTACATTGTAATAATGTCTGTATTATTCTAGTAAATTTTGAAATACCTATCTAAAACAGCTATGAACATAAAACTGCAACTACTGTATAATTGGAGAAATTCAGTCTGTACGGTGTTTTACTACTGGGTCTCGTCTAGAATTCAAATATTAAATAATAAACTTGTTGAATATAAGGTAACTCTTACCTGCATATAACAATAAACTATTACACAGTAAAGATCCATCATGGCATCATCATGGTCATCATTATTATCAATAGCGCAACATTTAACGCTCCATTATAGGATTTTTAAGGGGGGAAAATCTTTGATTGGTGCTCCCGTCTGGGTGAGGCGGGAGGGAGTGTCAGATTCTTACTGACTAAAAACCACCCCGTTCCTACTCCTGCACGTCGAGCCGGAGCCCCGGTTACCCGTTAGGTTCTCTGCGATAAGAACCTTCCCCTGGCAATAACAAAACACAACAAAAAGAAGTCAGTCAAATCGGTCTAGCCGTTCTCAAGTTATGGCGTGACAACGGGAAACGGGTTTCATTTTTATATATATATAATTATATAGATAGATTTAAGATTATAGTTTGCTTCTGCCGACCATGTGATTCAAAGTTCTATTTCTGGGGTGGACATTCTATAGTACCTACATCCTCCTTATTTCTTAAAATAGGGAACGATAGGTGTCATTTCCAATACTTGTGCTGCTCCCTAAGTATATCTTCGACAACTTAATAAAGTCTTGTCCTATACAAAGGTGATTGGCCTCATCTATTGCCAGTGTTGTTATTAAAAGCCTAAATAAGTATTTATTTTGATCGAGGACACTTCGCAATTGATGGCCATGTGTAGGCGTATATGTAAACCGATCTGACAACGAATCATTACACACATTTGTAAACATAGGCAGGATATTACTACGCTGATTTTAGT